TTATCTCAGTTTCATGGGTTTGTGTTTGCACCAGTTCCTCACATAACTGGCCACAGTAAGTGGCAGACCATTCAACTGCAAGGAAATCACTCCCTGACTTTGCACTCAGCTGATGTCTACAGACATTGTGTAGCTATCACGCCTTGCTGGATACCTTTGAAGAACAGGGAGGGGAGGGAATCTGACCAATCTCATTCCTGGCCTTCTCCCATACCTGCTGCTCAGGGAGCAGGGAGGCCAGTTTAATGGTCTCACTCCTGAAAATAATATGCGCAGCACAGCTCTGGAAATCTGGTGGGCAGAGAATATAGCTCAGACAGTGTCTTTAACCTACTTTATTATACCTGCAGTTCACTTGGTTGCCCACAGCAACCACCACCTTCATGATTGAAAGCCACAACTCAAACCCTTTATCTCCCATGCTCCCCCTACACAAAACAAAAATCAGACATCTAAAAGATACCCTGACAGAGCCTCTACTACTGTTTCCTGCCCATCTCTCATTTGGCAAATGCATTGCTCATTCCCAGTCCAGATACCTGCTGTTGCATATGCTGATCCTCAATAAATTGCGAATTTGCTGCCTGCAGCTCTTGGTCCAGTCGGCTGTATTTATCGGAAGTGGAATTCAGTCCCTGGTTTCCTCTGGCGCTTAGCAAAGTCTGCACACAAGCAGAACAAAACAAAAATTAAAACCATTCAATTGGCAATAACGGCCCAGAGAAGAAAGCTTCGGTACCATTCACACATAGTAGGTCTCTCAAATATCTCAAGGCACTTCTCACATGGAGAACTAGATGAATTGATGTGCTGTAGTAAATTTTCCATGCTGCAAATTCCTATCTTTTAAAAACTATGAGCAGAACTGTCATTCGTACAGTATCATTCACTATTTTTTGAAGTGCTTTTGGGATGCAGTTATTGCTTACGTAAAAAGTGTGGCAGCCAATTTCACACAGCAAAGTTCCACAAGTAGGTATTCTTCATTGACAGAATGCTTTGGAATCTGCCATATCCAGGAGAGGACAGATGGGTTTTCAGTTTCATATCTTACTGGAAGATGGCACCACTGACATTGCAGTTTACTGCTCGGGGGGCGGGGTAGTGCTGGAGTCTCCAATTACATGTCAAAGTTCCTGATAGGGGCTTGAACCCATAACTTCGACTCGGCGTGCAAAGTACCACTCAGCCACAGCCACACCTTAATGACCAAATGATCAGGCTTGAGGCCCACATGCCAGCAAAGGATCTAGATGGTCAAGGTTCACCAGATTCTGTAGCAAACAATTTCAAGCTGGGACCCTCCAGATGGTAACAGATTACTGCCCACGAAGCACAAAGGTTGAAGCAGGCACCCAACAGATGTCCCAGCTGAAAATTGGCCAATTCAGCCGATACGATCTAACTTTGACCCTGAAACTTCGGTACCGTACCAGCAAATTGGAGTGCCTCTTGAACAGCATTATGATTGAGCAAAAAATGTGATGCTAATGAAATTGCAGATATGATTAACTGTTGAATATAATGAAGTTATAAAGTGTTAGTCTATCTGTGCATCAATGGGGGATTGTACAATGCCTTCCATTTTCCAGACAAATGCTTCAAAAAAAAAAAAAAAAAAAAAAAAAAAAAAAAAAAAATCAGGAGATGCAGTTCTTGGTAATCTGCAGAACACTGAAGGCAATGCTGGCTCCAACCATGGATATCCAATCAGGGAAACTAGCCAGAAGACTACAATCTCCAATTTTGCCCTCTAAGATATCTATCTCCTTCCAAAGGGCCATGAGAATTGATGACCAGTACTAGGGGATTTTTCACTCTGCCTCTACATTATACTAGTTGGTCAGAAGCAAGAGACAAACACAAGCTACTCACTCACCTGTCTGTTCTTCTGCTCCACTAATGCCTGCACCGAGGAACTGGACATGTGGTCCTTCATTTCCTGCAAATAAACTGAAAAAGGTCAGTATTCACTGTAGTAATGCATGGAAACACTCACCACAAAGGAATGTGAACTGTTGCAGCAAGCCTGTCTTTCTGTGGGACAAGGTTTTACATCTAAACATCAGCAAAGGCTCAGGTGGCACAGTGGCCGAGTGGTTAGCACTGCTGCCTCACAGCGCCAGGGACCTGGGTTCAATTCCACCCTCGGGCGACTGTCTGTGTGGAGTTCTCCCCGTGTCTGCGTGGGTTTCCTCCGGTTTCCTCCCACAGTCCAAAGATGTGCAGGCTATGTATGTTGGCCATGCTAAATTGCCCGTAGTGTTCAGGGATTTGTACATTAGGTGGGTTATAGGGGTATGGATTTGGGTGGGTGCTCAGAGGCTCGGTGTTGGGCCGAAGGGCCTGCTTCCACACTGTAGAATCATTGATCATAGAATTTCTACGATCAATCAAGTCAAAAGAACAACCCATGCAGCTTCACTTTTAAAATGAAGCATTAACTTTCCCTTTGATTTAGTGTTTTATTAGAAGTGCTAGGCAATCGAGCATTACTTTTCAGATTCCATATTGCACTGTCCATTACTCCCAACGCGGGTGCAACATTTCATTCAATAGTTTAATAACTCTCTCTACACTGTCCCTACCTAACATTTTGGAAACAGGTATAGCGCAGGGTTATACACTGGATAAAATTCATTTATACTCTTTCAGAAACATGCGTCAGAACAAGCTCCCTATCACATTAGTCACATTCCTGCACTTCCCACATCAACTGTCTTGTAATCCATCCACATAGCTCTCAACATTCCAACACTCACTTGACCTTTCCAAGCCAAGACCCAGAGAACATTGAATCAAGAAATAGTAATTTGCCTTCTGATTTTCCCACTCACTTTCTCACCCTGCACATTGTGCCTTCAGCTAGCAAAGCAATCTCAGCATAAGGCTAAAAATCCACATCTGAGCAGTATATGGCACTCGGAACAAATCACAAAATCCATTAAACCCCACAAGTGCTTTCTCAGCCGTGTCAAAGGTAACAGCAATGCCATAATTAAGAAGGAAATCACTTGTCAGGTTGGAAGATAGTTATTTTATCAAAAAATTAATTAGGCCTTACATTTACTACCCAACCCTAAATGACCCGATGATTAAATGAAGTGGCAAGGAAACTAGGGTGAAAATAAGAGTCGATACAGGATTAAAGTCACAAGGTAGCAGAATGGTTAAAGACAGAAGGTTAACTCTATTAATTGACATTAGCAACCTAGATTAAAGATAATCAACAGCTTTGTGGTCACTTTTATTGATACTTTCATTTTACCTGCTGGAAAAAGATTTGAATGTACAGTTCTGAGATTTCGTCCAGCGTCTGGATTGCTAATCTAGTAACAGAACCGTCACAATACCGTAGAAACTCCAGATACAAACATATTGATGTAACAATAAAGGAACCAGTGGTGAGAGTTCGTACAAAAGTGCACTGCTTCATGCCTCTCCACAAAAACTTTCAATCTTGATCTATAATTCCAACTGCCCCATTTCCCAGAACAAATATTCTAATAGCCCAGTCCTTCTAGATCACTGCTATCAAAAACCATCAATTTCTCAATTGCCTGTTAACACAACAGCAGGACTTGCCTTCACGATTTGCTTTGTATTGATGATGAATGCTTTCCGCTTACTCAGTTCTACAGGATCAAGGTTAAACTTCCGAGGATTTGTCTCTACAATACGTATGTTGCAGTTAAGGCAAAATCAACTGGTGTTTACACCAGATTGGCAATTTTACACAAACAACCTACATTGATACAATACCTTGATGTAGTAAAATATTGAGGAATTTAACCAGACCCAGTGAAACATAATGACTCATAACTGCAGCACCATTTCCAGCGATGTGTGCCAAAACCAAGGCTTGCAATTTGACACAATGGCAGCCTTGGCACCACCAAATGAAGTTACGTGACACTTTCTCAATGATGCACCTTTGTGCCACCTTTCTTCCACTATGGTCAAGGACATGAACCTTCTCTCAAGGCCTGTCTTTACTTGGTACCCTAGAGGGTGTCTCACCCAGTGATCCATAACTTCATCCACTGATCCACTCCATAACTTCCATTTGGACGGTGCAAACCACTACTGCCTCTAGCCACCATTACAGAAAATTAATTTGTTCAAACTGTTGCATTTTCCATGTGCTAACACAGCAGAGTAGCATTAGTTTCCAAACTGTACCAAGTACCACTGAGTTATTGAGAAACTCGGTTTGCTTGGTGAAGCACAGGAATTGCTGCCAAGACCCCATTTAATGGGAAAATTGTGTAGTTCCATGCCCACTCCTAGTCTCCCAAATACTGGCCATTAGAAACGCTTTTTTTGGGATGTATTCAGTACAAGTAGCTTTGCTGTATTCATTTGGTGCTTCTTTTAACGTGCAGACTCTCACCTGCAGTTGGCTTCAGATACAAGAAAACACATGTCCTGTCTTGTACTAACCAGCATTGTAAGCAAACCCACCTACTGCACCCAAGCATAAAGTTAGTTCTCAAACCTCTCAATTTCAACAGGCTTCAGAATCCTGCTTTTTAACGATAAATGGCCTCGAGACATATCTGCTAAACCAGACGTGGCTATTTGATGTAAATGTCACGTAGTTATTAGCAACTGCGGTATTATACAAGGTAAAACTGTCACATTGCTGTTGCTAGTAGCTTTTGAGAAGGAGCCACCACATTGACATGCAATTAAAGGATATTAATAGTTTCATCGAGGTCCTCCAAGTCCCACTCGATACTACGGAGACTATTCCGAAGCTCATTTGTTGTCCAGTCACACTCCTCCTTGCTGGCTGAAGAGGGATCTGCCAGTAACTCTGTCCATCTCTGGTACAATCCTTGAGAAGTGTTCACCGCTTTCTGCACTTCGCTGGAAGAAAGGACATAGCATGAAATTTGGTACAAATTAACTTTTAATGTAGTTCAAATCTTAAATAGCATTGGGCAACACAGTCTTAGCCTCACACATGCATTTTCATTTGGCTTTTTAGGGTCAACAGTGGCATTGCGGGTATTGTTCTCACTGCAGATCTAGGGCTTTATGCGTAAGCTCTCACTCCAAAGAAGTGAATGTAAAACTAGGCTGACATTTAAGTGCTCTATTAAAGGACCGCAGCAATGTCAAGTCTTTCAGAGGAGACATTATCGAAGGTCTTGTCTCCACAACCACGCCAACCCCACTACACCCTCAAATGGATGTAAAGCACACATCTAAAACCAGAGCCATGCCTCCCCACCTATAGAATGAGTTACAACACAATGAGGCCATCTGACTCATTGTACCCTTGTTAGCTCTCTGAAAGAACAAATTTAGCTAGTCACACACCGCACCTCTTTCTCACTGCCCTGCTACTTCTTTTTTTAAGATCCTCAGATAATTATAGGTGCATCCATTCACAACAGTATAGGTAAGAGTGACCACATAGTCCTTGTAGAGACACAGTCCTATTTTCATATGGAGTATATCATCCATTGTGCTGTGTCGCACTAACATTGTACTGAACGGGATAAATTTTGAACAGATTTAGCAATTCAATACCAGCCAACAATGAAGTGCAGAGGGCTATCAGCAGCAGCCGGATTATATTCGACCACAATCTGCAACCTCGTGGCCAGATGTATCCCACACACTGCCATTACCACCAAACCAGGGGATCAACCTTGGTTTCAATAGGAGTGCAGGAGGACATGCCAGGAGCAGTATCAGGCACACCTAAAAATAAGGTGCAAATTTGGTGAAACTACAACACAGGACTTGTGCTCCAAAGCTGGCCAAACTGTCACAGTAAAGTTACAATGCCACATTTGCCCAGCAATATGACATGGTTGAAATGTATAAAATAGAGGAGCATACACAGCACAGACAGGAACTTTTCCCATTGGTGGATGGATCAATGACCAGAGGGCATATACTTAAGGGACTGGAGGTTATAGGGTGGTAGGAATCTAGAAGTCACTGCCTGCAATGGTGCTAGAGGAGAAACTCCCATAACATTTAAGAAGGATTCAGACGTGTACTTGCAATGCTAAGTGCTAGAAAGTGGGATTGGAACAATTAGGTGATTATTTTTGACCGACGCAGACTCGATGGGCAGAAGGAACTGATTCTATGTTATAGACCTCAGAGTTTAATGTGGAAAGTTCAGAATACCAGCTAATGTTCTGTGGACATGGGTTCAAATCCCACATGGTGAAAACTGATTTCGGTAAAACATTCTGGGATAAAAGGCTGGTTTAACGGCATCCATATAACTGCTGTCAATTATTAAAAACCCATGCTGATTACTAACGTCCTTCAGGCAAAGCAATCTGCCATCCTTACCCTAATCTGACCTACATGTAACTCCAGATTAATAGAAAAGTGGTTGACTCTTCACTGCCCTCTAAATAGTTAGAAATTGGCAATAAATGTTTGCCTAGCTAGTGACACCCAAATCTCATGAACAAATAAAAATAATACCAGGCAATGACCATCTCTAACAAGACAGAACCCAACCATTGCCCCTTGACATTCAATAGCATGACCATCACAGACTCAAGAAGATTGGTAACATCCAGGACAAAGCATTCCACTTGACTGGCACTCCAACTAAACTCTTCAAATTTCACACTCTCCAACAACAATACACAGTAGCAGTAGTATGTGACATCTACAAGAAGCAATATTTCTTAGACAGCACCTTCCAAACTAATGACCTCTACCACCTAGGCGGACGTGGACAGCAGATACATGGGAACACTATCACCTCCAAGTTCCCCTCCAAGCCACTCTTCATCCAGACTTGAAGTTATATTGCTGTTCCTTCACTGTCATTGGGAGCTTCCTTCCTTACAAGACAGTGGGATTTCCATTCTCATGCCTTCATAAAGTCAGGTATTTTATGAGGTTGATCATAACTTCCTTCCTTTCGTGTTTCTACAATACTTCAATTCATAAAGCCCAGAGTCCCATTGTGCCTTATCAATCACTGTCAGATCACCCCAGATCTTATGTTCACTCTAGGACTGTAGATATTTTAAGTCTTTATATTTTGTATACCTTGTGTAAACTGAAAACTTAATTTTTTTAATCAACCTGTTCAGACATGTTATGACAACTCTGGAGCAAGAGGGACTCGAACACAAGTCTCCTGGCTCAGAAGTAGGGACACTACTACTCAAGGGGCCTCCCTTTATTTTAATTTAGGCTTTCCTAGGAAGAGAGAAAAGGCATTCATTTCTCTCCAATAAATTTCTTGCGTCATGTGTTCACCCATTCAAATAACCTGCCTGTTCTCTTGAAATCTATCACTAGCTTCCTCACAGTTCCAGGCTCCGCATAACTTGTCTCCTACAAGTTCTACAACTATGCCCAGGTCATCCAAGACTATGTTATTAACCTGATCTAAAAAGGATTAGCCTTCGTAACATCACTTAGGGAACTCAACTGTGTACCTTCCTTCAATTTGAAGTACAACCACTATTATCGGTGAAGAGAAATCAGAGTTAACGTTTTGAGTTTTGAGAACAATTCTGAGGAAGGGTCACCAGACCTGAAACATTAACTCTGATTTCTCTTCACAGATGCTGCCAGACCTGTTGAGCTTTTTCAGCAACTTCTGTTTTTGTTTGATTTACAGCATCCGCAGTTCTTTCAGTTTTTACTTTGCTCACTATTATTGTTTCCTGTCACATAAGGTAACTTTGATGCGATGATGCCACTGCCCATTTTATTCTGAGCTGCAACTTTGCCAACAGGCTTGTTGTTTGGCACTTCATTTAATGTCTTTTGAAAATCCATGCCCACCATCTCAATTACTTTTTCTGCATCAACTCTCCCAGATACTTCTTCCAAAAAAGAAACTACAGCAAGTCAGTTCAACATTATTCACCCTTAACCAATCCATGCTGGCTTTCTTTAATTCCACCCAAATTTATTTAAGTGATGGCTAATCTTCTCCTGGAATTATTCCGCCACCGAACTTAGTGATTGGCCTGCAGTTGTGTTTATTCTTGAACTCCTTTAGAACAAGGTGCAACATTTGCAGTTCACCAATCCTTTGGCAACATTCCTAGATCTGAAAAGAATTCAAAAGATTCTGGCCGGTATCTCTAACTTCCACCCTTGCTTCCCTCAAAATACCCGGACCCATCTTCATGTTGCCCTGGTCGCTTACCAAATTTAGATACAGCCAGACTTTCTAATAGCTCCTATTTATCAGTGTTTAACCCATCCAGTATCTCAACTACATCCTCTTTCACTAAGATTTGGGCAGCAACTTCTTCCTTGCTAAAAACTGATGCAAATTAATCATTTAGTTATTCACCTGTGGCCTCTGCTTCCATGCATTGATCCCCCATTCTGCCACTAATTTTCCCCATCCCACGTCTTACTACCTTTTAACATTTTGATACCAGGAGGAGATTTTTGCATTCTCTCTGTGCTTCTCTTATAAATCGTATACATCCCACTGAACATCCTACATTCAGCCTGGTTCCTACTCATCATCAAACTGGCATCCCTCAAACATAAAGCGTAGAGCTGGACGAACACAGCAGGCCAAGCAGCATCAGAGAAGCAGAAAAGCTGACGTTTCGGGTGTAAAATGTCAGCTTTCCTGCTCCTCTGATACTGCTTGGCCTGCTGTGTTCATCCAGCTCTACACCTTGTTATCTCAGATTCTCCAGCATCGGCAGTTCCCACTATCTCTCAAACATCTTTTTTCCTGCTCATCGTACTGTGTCATCCAGGGCCTCCAGCACCTCGAGCTTTGCTCATCCTTCCTTGACTCCTCGTGGCAATGTATTTTGACTGTACTTCAACCATTTCCTCCTCAAAAGACAGCTCACTTTTGAGTTACAATTTTGCCTGCTAATCTTTGATTCTGATTTACCTGGGAAAGATCCATCTGAAAATCTGCCACTTTTCCATGACCAAATTAAAACTCAGAGCCTCTTTAAACCTACAATAACTGTCTCCTAAATGTTCCTCAACTCAATGCACGCAACTCACCTCATCCCCCAGCAACAGACCCGACAATGCCGCCTCCCTCTGAGCCAGAAACATATCAGTTTAGAGAAATCTGAACACATTTCAGAAACTCTATCCTCTGCTCTTAACATTTATGATTTCAACTTATATTACAATTATGTAAACATTTTCTTTTTCAAAACATTGGCCTAACCTTTCTTTTGGGTATTTTTGTTTTAAAAACATAATTAGGAGAAAGAGACAACAAGGTGCAGGGCTGGATGAACACAGCAGGCCAAGCAGCATCATAGGAGCAGAGAGGCTGACGTTTCGGGCCTAGACCCGTTTGTTTGTTTTTATGCCAGCCACTAACCTTCTTTCATATTCTTTGTCCCCTTTTCCTCTGTTTCCTTATAAAATTAGTCATCTTATTTTCTGCTGGATTTGAACCTGACATTTATCATAAATGTCCTTCTCTTGTTTTATTTTCATTGCTGATTTTGGTAATCCAAGAAGCCTTTCCTTTACCCCTTATGAGAATGTGTCTAGTCTGTACTCAAACCATCTCGGCTTTCAACGTCTCACATTATTTGGTCATTGTTTTACTAGCCAACTTTTAGTTCCAATCTAACTGAGCTAGATGCCTTTTTACTCAGCTGTGACTCCATTAGTCTCACTTTTGCGTCCAAGACATCTAATCCCAGTCCAAGACAAACACAACACAACAACTCCAGGGCAGTTGTGAGGACATGCATGCCTGTCAGAGGCAGTTTTTCAGGTGAAACATTAAAATAAGGCCTTGTCCTCCCTCTCAGGGTGCAATTTCAAAGACCAGAGGAGTTCTCCTCACTGACCCAATTAATATTTATTCCTCCATCAACATCACAAAGGCAGATTACCTGCTCATCGTGCCATTGCTCCTTGTGGAAGCCTGTGCACAAAAAATGGCAATAGCAAACTACACATCATTGGCTACAGAGTGCTCTGGGACACCTTGTATTTGTGAATGGTGGTATTGAAACAAATCACTTTCTCACAAAATGAGAATTGGCCTTCTCCAGCTAAGCATTTTGAAACTGGATAATTTCTAGCCCTATTTCATTCTGAAATGGTTTCCAATCAGTACTGCCGAAGCACTTTCCTTTATTCCCGTGAGACAAATTATCAAATTATCATTCATTCAAATCATCGAGTCATAGCGACTACAGCACGGAAACAGACCCCTCAGTCCAACGCGTCCATGCCAACCGGATATCCGAGATAAATCTCGTCCCATTTGTCAGCATTTGGCTCAGATCCCTCTAAACCCTGCCTATTCATATACCCACCTTGATGCCTTTATAAATATTGTCATTGTACTAGCCTCCACCACTTCCTCTAGCAGCTCATTCCATACATGCACAACCCTCCGTGAAAAAGTTGCCCCTCAGGTCCCTTTTAAATTTTTCCCTTGTCACCTTAAACCTATGTCCTGTAGTTTTGGACTCCCCCACCCCAGGGAAAAGACCTTGCCTATTTATTCTATCCATGCCCCTCATGATTTTATAAACGTCTATAAGGTCACCTTTAAGCCTCCAACATTCCAGGGAAAATAGCCCCAGCATATTCAGCCTCTCCCCACACCTCAAACCCGCCAACCCTGGCAACATCCTCTTAAATCTTTTCTGAACTTTTTCTAGATTCACAACATCCTTCCTATAGGGGGAGACCAGAATTGCACACAGTACTCCAAAAATGGCCAAACCAATGTTCTGTACAGCCACAACATGACCTCCCAACTCCCACACTCAAAACACTGACCAATAAAGGCAAGCATACCAAACACCTTCACTATCCAATGTACCTGTGACTCCACTTCCAAGGAACTGTGAACCTGCATGTCATGGTCTCTTTGTTCAGCAACACCACCCAAGACCTTACCATTAAGTGTATAAGTCCTGCCCTGATTTGCCTTTCCAAAATGCAGCACCTTACGTTTATCTAGATTAAACTCCACCTGCCACTCCTTGGCCCATTGGCCCATCAGATCAAGATCCCGTTCTACTGAGGTAACTTCTTCGCTGTCCACGACACCTCCAATTTTAGTGTCATCTGCAAACTTACTAAACATACTAATGTTCATATGCAAATCTTTTATATAAATGACAAAAAGCAGTGGACCCAGCACTGATCCTTGTGACACACCGCTGGTCACAGGCTTCCAGTCTGAATAGCAACCCTCCACCACTATCTTGTCTTCCACCTTTGAGCCAGTTCTGTATCCAAATAGCTAGTTCACCCTGTATTCTGTGTGATTTAACCTTGCTAACCAGGCTACCATGAGGAACCTTGTTGAACACCTTACTGGAGTCAATATAGATCACATCCACCGCTTTGCCCTCAATCCTCTTCAAAAAAACTCAATCAAGTTAGTGAAACATGATTTCCCACGCACAAAGCCATGTTGACTATCCCTAATCAGTCCTTGCCTTTCCAAATACATGTAAATCCTGTCCCTCAGGATTCCCTCCAACAACTTGCCCACCGCTGATGTCAGGCTTACCGGTCTACAGTTCCCTGGCTTCTCTTTACCACCGTTCTTATAATAGTGGCACAACGTTAGCCAACCTCCAGTCTTCTGGCACCTCACTTGTGGCTATTGCTGATACAAATATCTCAGCAAGGGGCCCAGCAATCTCTTCCTTTGCTTCCCACAGAGTCCTAGGGTACACCTGATCAGGTCCCAGAGATTTATCCACCTTTATGCATTTTAAGATGTTCAGCACCTCCTCCTCTGTAATATGGACACTTCTCAAAATTTTCAAGATTCAAACATTTTCTTCCCACATCCTCGATCTTCCATATCCTTCTCCACAGTAAACACTGATGCAAAGTACTCGTTTTGCATCTCCCCCGTTGCCTGTGGTTCCACACATGGGTGACCTTGCTAATCTTTAAGGGTCCCTAGTCACCTTGTTGTCCGTAAATGTATTTGTAGAATCCCTCTGGATTCTCCTTAACCAGGTTTGCATGTTAGACCTTAGTTAGAAAGAATAGAAAAGTGGCATATTATTTAAATGGCAAAATGATTGGAGACCTCTGCAGTACAGAGGTATCTGAGTGTACAGGTGCATGAATCACATTTTATGGAGGAAAGGTTAGACTTGTATCCATTGGAATTTAGAAAAATAAATGCAATCTTATTGAAGCATAGAGGATCCTGAAGACACTAGTCAAGGTGGATACTGCGATGACATTCCCTATTGATAGAGATTCCAGAACGTGGGGACAGAGTTTAAAAATAAGGGGTCTCCCATTTGAGACAGGTAAGTGTTTTTTCCCCCTTCTGTTAAAGGCTTGTAAGTCTATGACACCCCCTTGCCAAGGCAGTCGTGGTGGTCGAAGTGCCATTTTAAGGCGGATGTAGATAAATTCCTGACCAACAAGGAGTCAAATTCCTGTTCCACAAGGATCAGTGCTGGGTCCACTTGTTTGTCATTTATACAAGTGATTTAGATGAGAAGGCTAAGTTAGTAAGTTTGCAGATGACACCAAAATTGGTTGTATAGCAGACAGTGAAGAAAGTTATCTAAGATTACAAAGAGATCTTGATCAGTTGGGTTAAATGGGCTGAGAAGTAGTAGATGGAAGTTTAATTTGGACAAATACAAAGAATTGCATTTTAGTAAAACAAACAATGGTAGGGCTTATACAATTAAAAGGAAAGCCTTGGGTGGTGCTGTAGAACAGACAGACCTAGGAGTTCAGGGACATAATTCTTTGAAATTTGCAGCACTTGTACACAGAATGATTAAGAAGGCATTTAGCACGCTTGCCTTCATTACTCGGATCTTTGAGTGTAGGGGTTGGGATGTCATGTTGAGGTTGTACAGGACGTTGGTGAGGCCTTTTCTGAAGTACTGTGTCCAGTTCTGGTCACCCTATTATAGGGTGGATATTACTAAACTAGAGACAGTTCAGAAGATATTTACCAGGATGTTGCCAGGAATCAAGGATTTGAGATATAAGAATTGACTGAAAAGACTGGGACTTCCTCTACCAGAGCATAGGAAGTTGAGGAGTGACCTTATTGAAGTTTATAAAATCATGATGGGCCTGGATAAGGTGAGTGACAAGAACCATTTTCCCTAGTGCAGGAGAGTTCAAAACTAGGGGGCATATTTTTAAGGTGAGAGGAGAAAGATTTAAAAACAAACAGGAGGGGTAATTTTTTTTAAAAAACACAGTAAGTGGCTCATTTGTGGTATGAACTTGCAGAGGAAGTAGTGGATGCAGGTAGTTATAATTGTTAAAAGACATTGGATAAGTACATGAATAAGAAACTTTTAGAGGGATATGGGCCAAACGCATGCAGCTGGGCCAAGTTTTGTTTGGGATTATGGTCAACATGGACTGGTTAGACCAAAGAGTCTGTTTCCATGCAACTACAGTCAACTATCAGTCAAATATTATTGGAGAAGCAGGAAAGTGGAGTTGAAGCCACTATCAGGTCAAGGTGAATGGAAGAGCAGGCTCAAAGGGCCAAATAGTTTACTCCTGCTCCTAACCTGTATGTTTCTGTGTAACAGTTCTACCTTCACACCCATTTTCTGGTTTACCAAATTAAAAGTTAAGCCAAACTATCCCATCTGCAAACCTGCAACACCTTGTAAAGTACACATAGGTGTGAGAGAGCACAATCTTTTCCTTAGCAACCACAGCAGGTATCGAATGATAACATTCCGAGGTGTTGGACCTAAACGATTTGAGACCAAGTGCGGCACCCAACTGCCTCAAAAACAGGGCTAATTAATAAACTTTTGGGGCGGTCACAGAAAAGACCTACTAACCTGCTTTTAGTTCTCCTCATCGAGTTAATATTTTACACGCAAGAGGTTAAGGGGGAGAAAAATTATCCTTACGGACAGGAGATTAGCCTAAGGGGTGATAGCTCGGTTTACAGAGGACACTCAATCAGAGCGAGGACAGCGGCTGCTGGAGGGGCTCCACCAGGCCCCACTGTTCTCCTCCTTACCCTTTCACCACGAAGAAGGGGTCCTCCATGGACATGTTGCTGGGCCGGGTCCGGACCGCGCTGGACTAGCGGACAGTCGCTCCCTCTTAGCAGAGTGAGAGCATGTCAGAGCTGACCATTACCGACTCCTCTCTCTCTGTGTGTATATATCTCAGCCCCGCTCCACCGCCGCCATCTTACCACTCCCTGACGATCTGCTGCCGGGTCAGGGGTCATTTCCGCCCAGGGTTGCTACGGGTTACGTAGGGATAGAGATAGCCCTCGGCCTCTTTCTGTTTTTAAGCGTCTCTCTCCGCGCCCCCTTCCAAACCCCAACCTACTCGAAATCATCCAACTCGGCCCTCTCCACTCACACTGACGCCCTCCGTTACTGAACCTCTTCCTCCTCCCCCCGCTTTCTCCCCCGTCTACTCTCCATCCCTCACTGAGCCTGCCCTCATTCTCCCCCTTGCCCACTCCAGTCCCCAGCCACTCTCCTCCACCTCCATTCTACCCACTCCCCCATTCCGTTCCCACCCTCCTCCATTTTTTCACTCTCTTCCCCCTCCCCAACTCTCCCTGTTCCCCCTCCTCACCCCACTCCACCTCCCAGTTCCACACCATCACCCTCCATCCCCCAACTCACTCACCCTGACCTTCATTCCTTTCCCTCCCTCATCTATCCATCCTTTTCTTCCACCTCCCAATCATCTCTCTCACTCTTCCCTCATCGGTTATCAGTCTTTGTTTGTAGACTGTTAATTTCCAGGTTTTCAATTGTTAGTTCCCGGTTTTTCATCCATTAATACTGGCTTATAGACCATGTTTTTGTCTGGGTTATCTTCCATTAATTTCCAAGGTTGTTGATCTTTAGTTCCCAGGTTATCAGTCCCAGATTATAGACCATTATAGTCTCCAGGTCATAGACTGTTAATTCCTAGGTTTTTGATCTTTGGTTTATTGGGTTATCAACCATTAGTTTTCTGGGTTGTTGATCATTAGTTTGCACGTTATCAATCATTATCAATTTTTAGTTTGTTGGTTATTGATCATTAATTCCTGGGATATCAACCATTCATTTTTGGGTTATCAATTGTTAATTCCCAAGCTATCGATCTTTAGTTCCTGGACATTGGCTGTTAGTTTCTCTTGTTATAGACCATTCATTCCCAGGTTATCACACATTAATACCCTTGGGACATCAACCATTGATTCCAGGTTATCGACTTTTATGTTTCCAAGTTATAGTTCCCAGTTTATCCATCAGTAGTTCACCTGCTTATCAACAATCAGTTCCACTACAGAAACCTTTGTTGGCTGGATGTTATGCCTCCTGTTGTCGGAAATCCTGCCACCATTCATGGCAGACTAACGCGTGAAGTCTGCCCATTTAAGGTGAAGATATTGAGGAGTCCCAGGCTCTGTGAGTACCCAATCCAGCAACAAACCCAGCTGATAGGACAGCAGAGTTGGAAATCCAGGACAAAATGGGTAAGGCAGTTAAGTTGTTCAATGAACACAAAAAGCTGCACATTTTCTAGCCTCCACAATTTGCTGAAAAGGTTCATAAGTGGACAGGACTGTTTTGGTAAGAAGCTGAATTGAGAACCAGGAGACAATGTGTATTCTGTGTATATGCTGTGGCTCAGCTGATTGTCTCAGAACCAGTGGTCATGGATTCAAGTCACACTCTAGAGTCTTGAGCACATTATCTAGGCCAACACCTCCAGTGTGGTGCTGTCAAGGTTCAGTACAGTTTGAAAAGACTATTTCCTGAAAAAGAAGCTGTCATTCCTGGATTTCCTAAGTACAGGCATGAAGTTTTAAAAAAAATCAAGGATGTTATTCTACATCTTAGGCCACTTTTGAAAATACTGTGCTCAGTTCTGGTCTCCCTGCTATAGGAAATATATTGTTAAACTTGAAAGGGTGCAGAAAAGATTTACGAGTAAGTTGCCAGGGTTGAAGGGTTTTAGCCATAGGAAGAGGCTGAATAGGCTGGGGCTTTTTTTCCCTGGAACATTGGAGACTTAGGGGTGACCTTATAGAGGTTTATAGAATCATGAGGGGCATGGATAGGGTGAATAGCCAAGGTCTTATTCCCAGGGTAGGGGAGTCCAAAACTACAGGACATAGGTTTAAGGTGGGAGGGGAAAGATTTAAAAGGGACTTGAGGGGCAGCTTTTTCTCGCAGAAGGTGGTGCATGTATAGAATGAGGTGTCAGAGGAAGTGGTGGGGGTTGGTAAAATTAATACATTTAATAAGTATCTGGATGGGTACATGAATAGGAAGGGTTTAGAGGGATGTGGGCAAAATGGTGGCATATAGGACTAGATGAATTTAGTATGTCTGGTCGGCATGGACAAGTTGGACTGAAGGGTCAGTTTCTGTGCTGTATAACTCTATGACTCTATAAATCACTGTCTGGTCCTGTAGTTGAGTGTTGTATCCAACACTGGGCTTCATAGTTTTTGAATAATGTCAAGGTTTGGAAACTGGGGCTAACTCACTAGAAATACACCAAGGATGACAAATATTCAGTGGAGAAGAAACCAGAGAAGCTGTGATCACTTTCCACCAAGGAGGGAAAGTAACAGGAAGATTTAATTAGAATGTTGAACATTGCAAATAGATCTGATAAGATAACTGAAAAACAATTTCTGGGTCAGAGATTTCATTACCCAGAGGTCAGATATATGATAATTGGTCAAAACGGTGAGATAAGACATTTGACAGAGTGTGGCATCAAAACCCTTTAGAGTCAATGGGTATCAGGGAGAAACCTCCCCACTGGTTGGGAGACTAACCTAACATGAAGGAAGAGATCTATCATCTCAGTCCTAAGAAATTGCTGTAGGAATTTCTCAGCTTCTTAGGCTCAACAATCTGCAGCTGCTTCATCAAATGACCTTCCTTCCATTATAAGGTCAGGAGATTGTGAGCGATTGGGTATAAGACAATTGTCAGTGTATCATCTGCAAACATCGGGAGCTTTGGAGAGGTACCATCAAAACTATGATTTAGGCAAGTACCCACAGGATTGGGACAAAGGATTCGATTTCTTACTATTTGCTAACAGAGATCCCAAAATGAATCTACTTGGTCTAGTCAATTTGACTTGATTTATGATCAGGAAATTAGAGGTCCATAAAGTTGATGAGGGAAAAGTTCTTGAAACAAAACAACTATCTTCAATGTTGGATTACGTGTCCATGTTTCTGGACAAATTCTCAGAAACATGTAGAGTAGCACAAGAGCATTTGAAAGTAATAATGAAAGAATGGGCAGCTAAACATTCTATAATTGTGAGGTTTTTAAGGAGGAGATGAAGTATTGGTACTGTTGGCCTTGCAAGGGGAACCTCAATTTACTGGTCGATACAAAGCAGTTAGGACGGTTAATAAAGTGACTTACCTGATAAATACTTCTGTTTGTAGAAGGAAGAATTAGTGTTGTCACATAGATATGTTGAAAACATATCGTCGCAGGAATGAGGATAAGAAGGAGCAATTGTGGCTGGTAATGAGAGTAGTGGAAGATCACAGAGACGACAAGAGTGAGGTAAAAGGAGAGATAGTCAATTCTCAACACAAAGTAGAACAAAGTGGAGGAGTCAGTACTGCTAAACAGCATCATTGTTCGGGCGAAGAAAAAACAAGTTCAGGTAGAAACAGAAATTCAAGACATATTGGAAAATCACTTGATTAAACGTAGTCAAAGCAACTAGAGTACTCACCTATAGTACTAGATCCTAACTGGATGGATCACCTAGATTCTGTTAGATTATAGAAAAGTAAATGTGGTCATGAAAACAGATTCATGGTTAGAAGACTATATCACTAGGATTGGCATTGCCTCATTCCTTTCTAAGATTGACCTAGTGAACTGGTACTGTCAAGTGCCATTAACATCAAGGACTAAAGAAATATCCGCTTCTGACACAACAATGGGTATACCAATGTTGAGTAATGCCATTTGGGTTAGAAAGTACCTCAGCTACATTCCAAAGACTTATGAGTCAAGTAGTAGCTGAAATATGTAACTGAGTAGTTTATTTAAATGATGTCATAATATATAGTTACACATGGGAAGAACATGTGAGACAAGTAAAATATCTGTTCAAGCAATTATGGTTAGCTGGCTTAGTAATAAATTTAACCAAAAGTGCATTTGCGAAAGCTGTAGTGACTTACTGAGCAAAGGTGTTGTAGTATTGCAAAGGACGACGAAAGTTAAAAGCTCTAATAGAATTCCCTGTTCCTAAAGCTAAATGGGAAATCATGAGGCTTTTCGGAACATGTGGGTTTACTGGACATTTGTGCACAATTTCAGCGCAGTAGCTATACCTTAAAATTTGTGAAGGAAACCAGCAAAAGTGACTTTGTGAGCAGAATGCCAGGCAGCCTTTGAGAAGCCAAAGGCAATCCTATTAAATGAACCACTGTTGATCAACGATAATAAGGTGTAGACCTGGATGAACACAGCAGGCCAAGCAGCATCAGAGGAGCAGGAAGGCTGACGTTTCGGGCCTTGACCCTTCTTCAGAATGGCCTGCTGTGTTCATCCAGCTCTACACCTTGTTATCTCAGATTCTCCAGCATCTGCAGTTCCTGCTACCACTGTTGATCAACCTTGCTTTTTCAGACATTTCAAATTGGTGATGCTAGTATCTTGTGATGTGTAGGTGCAATCTTATTACAAGATAGTGAGTCAGGAATTCAGAAGCCAATGGTGTTCTTCTGTAAGAAACTAAACCAGTATCAGAAGGAGTAGTCTGCTGTAGAAAAGGAGACTTTCAGATTATTATTGGCTTTATTACACTTTTATTATTGGTGAGACTATTCAGATGCAGTCTTCTGTATCAACCATTTAATATAAAGAATAGTTACATTGTTGGAAGAGATTTTGTAATTGCAGATATTTTGACCTGAGTGTAACATGACTGAGTAGGTTCAAAGTTTAAGAAATGCTAAGGTTGTGTATGTTTGTACAAAGGGGGCTGGGGGTGTCAGTTGGCTAGATAACCAGTCTGTAATGCAGAGTGATGCTAATAGCAGGGGTTCAATTCCCACACCAGCTGATGTACCAACTGGCTGATGACTCTCCTTCTCAACCTTTCCCCTCGCTTGAGGCATGGTGACCCTCAACTTAAACCACCATCAGTTGTTTCTCTGCAATGAGAGAACAGCCCCATGTCCTGGTAGGACTATGGTTATTTGGGAAAGGGGAAT